GCCGGCTGCCGGGGAGAAGCGACAACAGCGGCAAAAAGCCCGTCGACTCGGGGAAAAAGTGCTGTGTAACGGTGAGCAGGAAGTGCTGGGGAGGCACCGTCCCTAACCTGCCTGGCGCGCTTTCCCTCCTCCTCCTTCCCCTCCGCAGAGCCGGGCTGTCTGGCGCGGCGTCCTGTTGGCGTTAGGGGGAAGAAGGGGGGCTGGTGCTACCCATAATGCGGAGAGAGCGTGGCTGTTGCAAAGCTGAGAGGCAGGAATAAATCTCGGGAGTGCTTTTTCGTTTGGTTTTTTTTTTATTTTTTATTTCTTCCACCCCCACCAAAAGCACGGGATAGGACGGCAGAGCTGCTCTGTTTCGCTGCGGGTTGCAGGCTTCCTGCAGCACAGACGTGCTCGCTGACATAAGCAGCACTTGCCCCGGGTAAACACTAAAATTAATACAGATGACTAGAGGCACTGTGAGCATCTTTAGTAGTTCCCCTCTTGGAGGGAGTCAGCCAGGACCAGAAACGGTCCTCACAGAAACAATGCCTTTCAGCTTTCCCAGCCGCAGGGACTCTGTCATGGAAACTTGAATTTCCATTTACCTCATTTATTTCTCTGTGTTTTGGAGAGGTCCTTTGTTCTACTGCACGCTGCTGCACTGCTGCAAGAGTGCAAAAGGGCCATCGTGGCCCTCCTTTCCATCTGTTGGGCTGGTAGGAGTTTGATGGTGGAGTATGGGGTTACTGACTCCAGCTCCCACTACACGGGACACAGGAAAGGTGATGTTAGGTTTTGGGATACTTGGTGCTGAGCATGTCATGAATGGGGTATTTCTGCAGGCTTTAGTAGCCTGTGGAAGGTTTGCTCTGGGATGCAACTGAGCAGAGGACAGACTTACTGGAGGTGCTGGATAAAAAGATGCTTCTTCATTAAAAAAAAAAAAGGAAAACAAAAGACAGTTTGGCTTGGCTACAGGTACCAAGCCATCCCAACAGGATGTGCCCTGACATGTTGCTTTGCCTTGTGGTGGACACTGAAAAGCTGGTAACACCCCTCACAGCCTCAAAGCTTGTCCCACGAGATTTGTGTTGGAGATCTCTTAGGTTGGAAATTTGTACTGAGAATAAGTCAGTTTCCAAATTTTGGAAGTTTATTACTTGTGTGGCTTACTACAGCAGCAGAACGACAACAACCACTAGGCTCTCTTTTCTGACCCCACAGTGCCATCCCCTTTGCTCTTCTCGCTGCTTGTGGGTGCAACTTTTGTGTGCACCACGATGGGTTGCCTCCTGCCTAGGCCTTTCCAGACTTTGCCTACCTGAAGCACTTTTGGTGCTGCTTTCCATGCTCCTTCCCCTGCCTGTCCCATGCCATGAGCATCCCCTTTTTCCTTTGGTGGCAACACCAGAGGAGCTAGGATGTCTGTGGGTGAGAAGCAGTGCCACGAGGGCTTCATAGCTCCTGCTGGCTTTTGCTTTTTCTTCCAGCTGGTCCCTGCTGCCCTTGTGTCTGTGCGCCCTTGTAGCAGACAGGCAGCTGGTGTATGTGCCCTGTGCTGCTTTGGGGAGGTGCAGCTGCTGCGGCTGGCTCAGGAGAGGGAAAGCAGGAAAGCCTTATCAGCCAAGGCACCTTGCTTTGAAACCTGCTGCTGAGCAGGATAAAATGATAGAGAAACCCAGACTACCTTCAAAACCCAGCTCCCGAACGCCTCAGCTCAGCACCGCACGGCTCTCGCAGAAGCTAGTGCAAGCAAAGGAAGGAAGCAACCCACCCAGATAATAAATTCCTTCGTGCTGCTTTCTATAAGCAAGTGTGGATGGATAAACCCTCTGTGAACTACGAGGAGAGGTGCCTACGTGCCCCCTGTCCTCAGATCCCGTCTGTGGCCATTTGCCTCCTGGTGTGCTTGCAGTCAAGTACAAGCTTAGGCATAGAGCAGTTTGAAGTCCAAAATGTTGCTGTGGGATTGTTGTATGAATGCCTAAAATAACTGGACAGTAATATAATTGATGTGATCTGCACTTGATTCTTAGAGTGTACTAGTTACTATCAAGACAGCACATAATAAAAATCATACAGAGGAGTGTGGGTCCTCTGGCTGGGAAAAAAAAAACACCACACACCCAGGAAACACACCCTGTTTTCTTACTATTTTTGTTTTTTTTTTTTAATTTAAACTGTGGAGTGTCTCATTGTTTAGCTCAACGGCGCTGTAGCTGTCCCACACACATCGTCACTCGACTG